CCTGATGGTTGGCCACTCTCAGCTGGAGGCTGGACATAGAATAAATTTTTCTACCAAAGAGATTAAGCCTCTTTGCCTCCTTATTCTTAAGCATCCATCCCGGTTGGCCCTATCTATCGCTCTCATTGGCTGCCGACACAACCAGTGAGCTTGGGGTGGGGTGGGTATGTAGATATTCAAAACTCTTAGCGGGGACATATTTTCTTTCCACCTGCTTGCAGATGAAGGGAAGGGAGGAGGGTGTCTGCCACAGAGCCTTGATTAGTTTCACCACTCCCTCGTGCACTCGCAGTGCCACCTTGGAGGGGGCTGCTGCATTTAATACATTGAACAGGGAGTCTAAGGGCTCTGCCAGCTCCTCAGCTTCCAGCCACAAGTTCGACACCACCCTCTTCAAAAGCTCCTGGTGGGCCCGTGCATCATCCTGGGGGACTGCGTGAGAAAGCCCAGCAGTTGCTTCATCGGGCAAAGATGATGAGGCGGCAGGTATAGGTGGTTCTGTCAACTCCACTGCTTCTGCCAGGGGAGCCGCAGCCCATGGCCGAGGCTGGCTGTCCCCGGGGAGCTTGCTCTGACTCCACATCTGAGTCAGGGGGCAGGCAGGAGACTGTCGCCAACCATCTTTTGGATGCCCCCGAGACAGATGGGGAAACCCCCCCCGGGGAGGTTCCATAGTTGTCAAGGGGCTGGCCACTGGCCCTGGGGCCATGCAGCCACTGGTGGCCCAGAGGGGAATGCCGATGTCCCCAGTGGATGACCTTGGCCTGCAGGCAGATCTTCCTCCTTGGGCTCTATACACGTCCTCCTTGCTGTCAGAGCCCGAGGAGGGAGAGACTTGTCTGGGGGACCAGGATGGTACTGAGGCCTCCGGTCTACCCCATTCTTGTTGGCTCTCTCCGCGGACCTCCACTGGGGACCTGTACCAGGATGATGGCTCTCGGTGCCATGACTCCAGTGACCGGTGGCGGCCTTTGGCGGATCGGCGACAGTATCCCGGAGATTGATGCCTCACGCTTTGAGAACGGTGCCACTCCAGAGACCTGGAGCAAGAGGATCACTGTCTTGGAGACTGTTGATGTGCTCGCAGTGATCCGTACCAGTGATCTGGAGACAGGACTCCAGGGACCAGCACCTCGACACTCCGGAGCCGTGCTGAAGACTGGGAGATTGACTCGGGCGCTCCCGGCACTGGGGCTATGGGGACTGGTGATGTGCCTCTGCAGGTCTGTGCCAGACTGCCGGCGATTGATGCCAGGACTTCGAGGAACACTGCCTAGAGTCCGGGAACTAATGCCGGGAACTCTGGCAGGGAAGCCGACCTCCATCTGGGGTGGCGCTGTTCAGGTGAACGCTGGCAGGGGAGCGGTGCCACACTGATGGAGACCTCTGGAAGGGTCACAGGGCAGGTTTACCCCTCGAACGGGGCACCTCACTGGCTGGCGTGGGCAGCACCAGAAAGGACAATATGTCCTTAGCAGCTTAAAAGGCCTCCAGTGTGGACTGCACCACCAGGTACCGAGTGCCTCTGCCGCTTCCTGGGTGGCAGATGGGTCTGAAAGTGGGCTTGCCCGCTCAATGGGAATTGGAGCCTGGCCAATGTCTGAAGAGGAAGAGTTGCCCCATGTGGGCCTTTGTTCTCCTCCCCTTACAGGATGTAGGAGACCGCCCTCTCCCGGCCTTTCTTTGCTTTTTAGCTGAAACTGGGGATGGGAATCGGCGCCGGTCAGAGGTAGGTGCCGGCAGCGTGCTCCACACCAAGGCCACAGTGCTTGGAGCAGAGTCCAATCTCGTCGGCTCTGAAGCTGGTGCCAGGGCAGACTCCATAAGGAGTGCTCGGACATGAATGTCCCTCTCCTTTTTGTCCGCGGCCTGAAGCTCTTGCAAATGCGACACTTGTTGCTCACGTAGGTTTCCCCTAAACACTTGAGGCAGCTTCTATGGGGATCACTGACTGGCATAGGTTTTTTGTAGCAGTCACAAGGCTTGAAGCCCGGGGACCGGAGAATGCCTTGTCCCTAGGCTAAGTCCTGTACAGGACTAACTAATTAATTCTAACTGAACACTAAGGGAACTATTATCTATACAACTTTAACAACTATATACAACGAATTCGCTGCTAGGCACAGTTGAGATAGGAAAGCTTGCCGAGGCAAGGAAACGTTCCAGCACCATCACTGGCGGTCAGAAAGAACTGAGGGAGGGGGAAGCTGACGGCGCTCCTTATACTGGTGCATATGCGCGCTACTCCAGAGGGCACCAGAGCCAGTCCCCTACAGATACCACTGAGGCAAAAACTTCCAGCACCGGTGCATGTGCAAGCACACACACCTACAATAGAATGGACATGAGCAAGTACTCTAAGAAGAACATTTGTTCAATCATACTCTCTTGTCCTCTGTTTGTGTGTGTAACCATTCAACTGTAGTATCAGTTCAATATCAGGTATGTTCTCAATATCAGAGAAATTTATCATGTAATGATAGAGGAACAGACTCAAGCTAATAGGTCACACACAAATGTACATATATACATAAAATATATAGATACATATCTATACATTTTTTTCATCTGCACCTTCACAGATCTTATTCTACAATTTTCTACCTGTTAAATCTGAAATTGCACTCTATTCTAAGCATGTGTACATGCTGAGACATTGTCTAGTCAACCAAAAGAAATTTTACACACACATGCACACAGCCAGTGGATCACAGAGATCATTAGTTTCATTGCTCCACAAAAGCAGAGGGCATGTATGTAGAATGATTTTTTTCAGCTCTATCACTCAGCCAAATGAAATCTGATTTTCACCAGACCAATGAAACTAGGGAAACATCTAGGGAGATATTTAAGAGTAGGTTAGATAAATGTCTATCAGGGATGGTCTAGACAGTATTTGGTCCTGCCATGCGGGCAGGGGACTGGACTCGATGACCTCTCGAGGTCCCTTCCGGTCCTATAATCTATGATTCTATGATTCTATGATCTAGGGACTATATACATCCCTGTCAAATGTCTAGTTTCCAATACCAAAGCAAGACTGCAAAAAACCTACATTTTTCTCTCCTTCCATCCTGGGAATCAGTTCAACTGTTTACAGTGAAACTTTCAGGAAAAAAAAATCCTTCCCTGGCTGAGCAACCAAATATCCACAAAAAGATAAAACTTTGAGAATATTATAAACAATCAAAAATGACCCTGTAGAATATAAATGCTTAAACAACCTCAGCTGTGTGTTGCTATGTCGTATACCCAGAAAAAACCCCACACCAATGTACGTTTATACAACCAGTATTTTTTCACCCTATGACAGACAGGGTCAAGTGACCTGAAATAGTTTTGTATACTGCACTCCTAAGCAGGTCAATATTTTCAGCATCAAAAGCTATTGATTTGCTAGTAATTAACACTGCGCTACATGAATGTATGTACTCAAACACCATCTCCTCTGCACAGGGTAACTCTGATACTGCAGCATATTTTTCAAGCAAAATGACCCATTAGTTTTAGATATTTACATTTACCCTGATGTTTGATGCAGAATTTGACCACATTTCTTAGTCTTTTGCTGCTTTTAGGCTTGTCAGCCACAATGTAATAAATAGGAATTGTGGGGAAAATGATAAGGTGCTAACCAACTTTGTATAAAAACATAAAAAAGGAGAAATTTGCTTAAGAAACTGAGTAAACAATTTTAAGTGAATCTGAGGGACAGAAACTGAAAATTAATCAAGAAAAATGTTCACCTATATTTATATAAGATGGTTACCACTATTATTGCAATAAGTCTGCCACCCATTCAGATTACCAAAAAACTATCCCCTCTCCTCTAATTTAGGTTGGCAGCGACCCAAACATTATTTCAGGCCAGTGCAACAACACGAGGTTGTGATGTGATGGAACATAATGTTGAATCAGGGCATTGTAATGCAACAAATTTGTCCTCAAAACCACTAACAGATCTAATGGAGGGTCATATAATCCTGTGAGATAAAAGTTTCAGCAGAGAATAACTAAATCTTATGTATTTTTAGAGAAAAAAGGTATTTTAGAAAGTGTAACAGAAAACACATAGACTAGAATTTTTCAATTGATGGGAAAATAGCTGTCTCAGCCAGAGATTTCAGCTATATTATTCCTCAGTCTTTTTCCAACATAAGACAATTTCTTGCCACTGTAAACCTGAATTCCAGTCAATGTCTTTATGTACAAACACATATACGTTGTATAGAGAAGTACTGAAGAAGTAGCTGCTCCCCAGAAATATTTGAACTACATAATTTTTGTAAATAATAGTTCATTTAAGTTTTATTATTTTAAAGGTCTAAAAAAAAAAATCTCAATACCCTGATTTTTCCTTCTGGAAAAATCCACTCTAACCCGCAAAAAGTTTGTCCACCAGTCAATATTTGTCTACAGTGTCAATTGCTAAAGGGAAGTTTTTCGGGATAATGGGGTTGTTATGAAAAATCATTATAACTGATGGCAGAAACTTATTCTGTTTCTGTGAGAAGTGAAATGGTTATAGCTGTGACATTTAAAAACAACAATTCTTGAGCACTCCAAAAGCTTATGGAAACCTTCCTTGATGGAAGCACTTTTTTGGTTTCCAGTTCCCTGGAAACCCGTGGTGCCCTCATACAATAGCAGTGAACAAGAAGTACATGCTTCATGTTTCAATGAGATGGGAAGGAGGGGAAGACAGAGAGAAACAGAAGCACTGAAGTAAAAGAAGTGTTATGGTTTTGCCCTTTATGAGTGAGATCAAAGATCAGAATCACCGGCTTGCAACAAATCTATACAAAACCCTTCTTGCATGGAGCTTGCTCAAAGTCTGAGAATAGGCTCACTGAAGCATGGTGGTGATTTAAAAAAATAAAAACAAAAAACACAGCAGACGGACGTGAGGATGGATAGTTGAATAAATGGAATACAACATAATCTACTTAGGTCTGAAACCAAAGGCCTGGGGATTAATAGGTTCGATGAGTTGCAGTTACCTGGTGTGGCTGTTGGATGACAGGCTCTCCCAGGGCTGTACGCTACAGCCAGTGATCGCATAGGCTCCCCCGCAGCTGCCATCTAATTTCATCAGCAGGGCTTTTGCTGCATTCTCAGCTGTCTTCCTGCAGTCGTGAGCTCTCTTGAGCATCTGGGTAATGTTCTCATCACCTGTTTGGTCCCCTAGTTTGCAAACAAACAATCAGTGTCAGAGCTTCGAAGAGCATACTGAAAATTAATACTAGAATACAGACTCTTAAAGCTATTTTCACTTAATGCTGTGACATTAACACCTAGCTAGCAATTTGTGATCTAAGTGAGACTAATACAGAGAAAAAGAACAAAGCTATGACTTGTATTTATCTGTTTTGTACTAGAGGTAAACACATACGATGCTGCCATCAGACAGGACAAGTAAGAGACAGTTTGCTCTGTGCAAGACTGTGCTTTATCCTCATTTGAGCCAAGCATTGTACATCCACATTTTATGCTCGCTAAATAAGCCACATGCCCTTGAATATTAACCCTCCAGAAGGGTTGCCCTTAAGACAGCATTAAAATTGTGGAAGCGAGAGTACCAGCCAACAGGCGCGGGCTGGTTGGGCTAATCTCCTTGAGAAGATGCAGCTACAACTCCCTTGTATTTTCCATGTAGGGGTGTAAATCCTCACTGATCTTCATAGCCACAGAGAGGAAAATTATCTGTGTTACCAGCAATAAGGATACACCAAGCAGTGCGAAGGGCAGTGAGAGGCAGCATATTCTAGTGGAAAGAGCACTGGACTGGGAGCTGGGAGAGCCGTGTTCCATTCCCAACTCTATCACAGACCTGCTGGGGGACTTTAGGCAATTTGCTCTCTATGCCCCAGCTTCCCTGCCCATCCTTTTTGTCTCTTTTGTCTATTTAGACTGTAAGGTCCTTCAAGGCAGGACCTGTCTCTTACTATGTGTTTGTACAGTGTCTAGCACTAACAGGGCCTCATTCTGAGTTGGGGTCTTGGTGCTGATGTAACATCAAAAAATAAATAATAAAAAGAAAAAAAGAAAAAAGCAGAAAATGCCAGGAAATTCAAAGTGATGAGTGGAGCAACATCCTCCATTTAATCAATCAATCTACTGGTTATGGAAGTTGCAGGAAGAGTAATGCACGATTTCACACTGTACTTCCTGGCTTTTCTCCCCGTCTATCAAAACTTTAACACTATACACACACTCAATAAAATAATCACATACAAAACTTAAGCAACATAATATTATCCCAACCCTTTCCTCCCTGTTCTGGGTTTTCTGGTGGTTGACACCAGAGACTGTCATGATCATTCTCTCAAATATCAGGATGTAGAGAAAATCCAGAACTGGGTACATACGACTTCAGTGTCTTATTCTACATTTCTGTTAACAGGCCAAATCCTGAGGTGCTTACTCAGACTTTATTTGATCAGTTCTCAGGCAAGTTTCCCACTGAAGCCAATGGTAGTTTTGCCTGCAAGGGACTGAGTAAGGCATTAGGATTTGGCACCAAATTTATTATTTTAACAAACAAACCAGATTTGTGGTGCTAGACAAATCATTAATAAAGACATTCTGGGATTTGTGTAAATTTGGAAAATGTATATTTCTCCGATATAATGAGACGGCTCTCAGGATTGTGGGGAGGGGTTGTTCGGTGTCTAACTTTAAATATAAACTAAACTAATTTTTACTTTAAACTAATGCAAAACAATAACTTTTGTCAGGCAAAGACTCTTCTGACTAAATTTCTCAGTGAAATAAAGTTTCACAGCCAAGCTATAACCTCCTGAAAAACAAGATTTATGATGGAAATGCTGGCACAGTCTCCACTAAAGGGTGTGAGTGGTAATGCTACTATTAAAAAAAAAGTTGACAGTAGACACCTATATAAATGTAGGTTACACCCTCTCTTTTATAACCTGAACATGGAGAAGAAAACTAATACTTTCCTTTCTGGAGTTACTTCTTGACTAGCAAAATCTAAGGCCTAATACACACTTGCTCCTAATGCCCTTTCATAAAGAAACAGCAGTACAAATTCAATACCAGACTACCAAAAGGAAGGGCTAGAATCTAGAGAAAAATCTGCTGAGACCTTTCCTGCATGACATACTCTGCAAGGAGAAACACACCTACACAAAGACTTGCACAAACCACTAGGAGAGATGCAAAGTAAACTGCCTGGAAACAGCGTAGTAATTGTGGATCATTGCGTCTAGCCTGCAGAAACAAGAGGTGGAACTCATCTGTCTTGTGGCTCTGAAACCAGCTGGTCGTTTGGTCCTTAAAAGCTTTCAGTTTACATTTCAGTGGTTCTTGAGAAGCTGGCGCTATAAATTAGTGTCTAAAGGCAGTGTCTAGGTCTCAGCACAGTATGGAAAGCTATTTTTCTGTCTGAAGGTTTCATATACCTTCTCCCTCCCCTCCCCCCAAAGCAAGGTCCAAGATTACTACTACCACTCCCTCCCATCAGTAAGAGGAATGAGCCTCTGTAAAATTAAGAGTTAGTTTCACAGTGAAAACATTTATTTATTGACAGAAAATGTGACTTGTGTGCATAGAACTCGCATGTACCATGTTGAAAATGGATTAATAAACGGGCTGACTCTGTTATTAGGAAAGCACCATCCCCCAAAGAACATTTTCAATAGCAGTGTTAACTAGTGTCAGTGTGTGCTGCTGAGTAACGAAATGAAATAGAACAACACAGAAAACAGAGGCCGAAACCTCCGTCCATGCAGTAAAACATGAGACGGAAATGTTAAAACACAAGAGTACCATGGGAGCTTGGAGGTAAACACTGCACATGGTATTTTATCTGCATTATGGTATATTTGAGAGTACAGATTTAAGACCAGATTTTTATGAAACACAATTTTTGTGGGCAAATACTGTGGCTATGTACACAACTGTGGTAATGGCAAGTGCAAATTATGTAACCCAAACCACTGCATTCAGTATGTGAAGCGCATGCTTGGGTGCTTGGCGGTATCAGTTTAATCACTGTGCTTGGTATATGGTTATTGCCCAACAAAAGTAATCCCACAAGTCCAGAAGATGCATCTCCTGTAATACCATATATGGTTTATTTTAACTTGCTTATAATAGTTTGTTTCGGTTCCAGTCCCAATTTTTGTGTGTGTCAAACATTTTATTTATTCAGTTGAAAACATGAAAATAAGCACATATTTGGTGGGTAACAAACTGTCAGGAGATGATTCACTGTTGCAACCAGCCCTTGTAAACTGATAAATGTTAACTGAAGTGCAGAATGGGATTTAGAGAATGACTCATTGAGATCTTACCAACAGAACCAACGCCTGCAGCTCTAAATTGACCAAGAATGAGACTCTGTTCACTTTCTGCCAAAGCCAGCAGCAGCTCGTATGCTTCTATGCACTGTTCACTGAAATAAAACAAACACAATATCTGCAACTTAGACAGGAGAATCAACATCAGAGATCAACACTGGATAAGTGGTGGTGGAAGAACTAGGCCAGTGGTTCTCAAACTTGGGCCGCCGCTTGTTCAGGGTAAGCACCCTGGCGGGCCGGGCCAGTTTGTTTACCTGCCGTGTCCGCAGGTTTGGCCGATCGCGGCTCCCACTGGCCACGGTTTGCCGCTCCAGGCCAATGGGGGCTGCAGGAAGGGCAGCCAGCACGTCCCTCGGCCTGCACCGCTTTCTGCAGCCTTCATTGACCTGGAGTGGCGAACCACGGCTAGTAGGAGCCTCGATCGGCCGAACCTGCGGACGCGGCAGGTAAACAAACTGGTCCGGCCTGCCAGGGGCTTTCCCTGAACAAGCAGCGGCCCAAGTTTGAGAATCACTGAACTAGGCTATTCCTTTCTATTTGTATGATAGCAGGGACATTACAGGACTACAGCTGTGTCAGTAATTGATTTTTTGATTCAATGGCAGTTCTGAAAAATCAGAAAAAAATTTGGTTCAAGTCAGGCCAAATCTGAACTTTTTGGAAATATTCAATGAATAGAAGAAGTTGACAAAAAGCCTGTTTTGGGTCAAATGAAACATTTCACACTTAAACTTGGGTCTTCCCTTAGAGAGTCATTCTGTCCTTCTCTGGACCACTGACTTTTTAAGTATTTTACACAAAATGGATCAGTGTCAACAGGAGAAACAGAAAGAGATCCACCCCAGAATGCCCTCCTATAACCCGGTGGTTACAGCACTCACTTGAGCGGGAGATGACCCAAGTTCAAGTCCTGCTCCAGTGACTGACTATTTACAGGAAATAAAAAAGCTTCAGTAAGAAAGCTTAAGAGGGACCCATCCCAGAATAGCCTACACTCAGCTGCAAGAGGGAAGCCCTGGGGTCAAATCACTGGTCCAGAGAGGAGATTTGAACTTGGGTCTTCCACATCCCAGGTAATGTGGTTTCTCCCACCAATGGTCAACAAGCCTCCCCTTAGATATGCAGCCTGTGAATGTTGTCCCCAGGCTGGCCCTAACTCATTGAATAGGAAATGGGAGAGATGGAATGACCAGTGAGAGTTGAGCTTATCTTTCTTCAGAAGGGTGGCTGATACAAGACAGTAATCTGACCAACAGTGGAGGCTATTTCTTGTGAAGTTGCCTTTCCAATTTTCCATGTTATTCAAAACCCTTACCAAAATACTTACGTTTTTCTGATCCTCTGTTAAAAAATAATCCCCTGTCCAAGACTTTCCTTAAACCCATTTTCCCCACTGCAAGGAGATCACTACTGAACGTACTTGGGAACCACTCATTTCTGCTTTATTTAATATGTAATATATAAAATTTATTCAAGATCAACTTCCTTCAAAATGAACAGGATTTGCCCTAATGCCACAAGTGTTTGCTCCAAATTAGTCGAAAGAATGCTCCAGAGACACCATTTTTTACAAATATTTTAAAGCAAATATAGTTATTTGGGACCAAATCCTGAGAGGTGTACCTCACAGTTCCTACAGAAGTCAAGTTAATTCACAAAAGTCAATAGGAGTTGTGGGTTCTTTCTTTATACCATCAAGCTTGTGAAAGATGCTAGACTGACAGTAGGAGAAACTGAAGTCTCCTATTTATACAACAGACAGCTAAAGCACGGACAACTCCAGCACAAGCTTCTTCACAGTGCTTCTCCAGCGTGCCCCAACCTTCATCTGGAGGGATGCTAGAGTGTGAGAGTGGAGTTCAGTCATTTTACCTACTGAATCCTTAACCTCTTGTTGGGATGGCTAATGATCATGGCTGCCTATGTGATGAGGACACTGGACTGCGAGCACCCAACACACTTCAAATAGAGCAAGACACAGATTTAACATTTCTCAGACACTGATTCATTTCTTCTCGCTGAAGAAATATTGGAAAATATTCCCAGCAACGTCCATCATATTAATATCACAAGTTGCTTATTATTATCATCATCATCACTTTTTTCTTTATTTATTTTCTTCAGTAAAACCTGCAAAGGTTGTTTCATGTACATATGAGAAGGAGGGGGAAAAACTAAACAAATCTTCCCTAACTCTAATCTTCATTCTGTATTTCCAAAAAGAAGAGGTAAAGCTATTTAGTGTGACAGCTAAATTCATCCCTGATGAAACGCCTCTGACTACAGTTGAGTTACGTATCAGACAATAACTAAATGTAGCTGCCTCATGAACCTATCTAACCAGTGCATCATTACTCACACCAGAATGGAACAGAAGCAGGATGTTCTGTTGCAGAACAGCAGCTTTATGTCCTAAGTTCTGTAGCAAGTCTTGTCCCCTCACTTTTCAAGCTCAAATTCCCAGGCCACATATTTACATACCTGTACTGCAGTGCAAGTCTGAGTGCCGTGGCATTGGATTCATATTTCCCAACCAGCATGCTCATCCTCTCAGCATTGCTCTTGCACTCCTCCAGCGTTATTGTCAACAAGTCATTCTGGGATTTTAAGTGCTCAATACGGCTGTAGAGAAGGAAATAATGTTTAACCTTCAAGCAGAGACAGAGGTCTGTTTGTCTTGAAAACACCAAAATGATCCCAGTTTAGAATGTCAAAGAACATTTGGCTGGCAGTATTTTAAAGTACTACAGCTAAATCCATGGGTTCCATGTACTGTGACAAGAACACGGGAGGATGTTTACTTAGGTCTGGGACAATCCCACACCACTAAAAAAACAACTGAAGAACCAACCAAAGAATAAAACATCCCTTTTTGAATTCTCTGTTGCTTTCTCATTGCAGCAAGCCTATGTAACAGCGCGATCTTATTACTACTATCCTTATCCTCCCTCTATCTTGCCTTCCTACCTTTTGGTCACACTTGTATCTTGTCTTAAATCAACTTGTAAGTTCTTTGGGGGCACGGGCAATGCATAAAACTCCAGGGTATAGCCAACTGCCACTGTATTTAGCACCCAGCAGTCCGACAGGAACTTGTATAGCGCCTTGGGGTGCACCATCGAAAGTCCTGCTTGGGTCCACCGGAGTACCTATGAGACCCCAGCTGGGAGGTTGAGGTGGATGGAAGCGGTTGACGGTGCTAGTAACCTCTCCCTTTTCTTTTATAGGGTTCTTGTCTTGGAAGCTGAGCTGAGAAGCATGGTGGCTGCTGGGGCCAGAAGTGCTTCCTAGAAGCAAACAGAGCATTGAGGCCCAGGGACCTGAGCAGTGCCCTTGAGTCCTTCAGGGTGTGCAGTGTTGTGTTCATCTGCTCCAAAAATAGTGAGGAATCCCAAGGACTGAAGCCAAGATCATTGCCTCAAGGTGACGGCAGAAGCCATTGTCCTCACCACCACGTCTGTGGCAATTAATGCTGCCTGGAGAGAGGCTCTGGCAACATTCTTCCCCTCGTCTAAGAGGGCTGAGAATTCCTGCCTAGAGTCCTTAAATTTGACCAAGGAGTCCCACAAATTGTAGTCATATCTTCCCAATAAGGCTCGTTCTCCGCTCTTTTCAAAGTGGGGGGCAGACAAGATGGGGTCTGCCACAGGCCTTTGACCAGACCCATTACTACCTCATTAATGGGGAAGGCCACCTTAGATGGAACTGCTGCTGCCAGAACGTCAATGAGACCGAGGGATGATTCCTTAAGATCCTCAATCTCTAGCCCCAGGTTAGCTGCTATCCGCTTTAAGAGCTCTCAATGGGGCCAAAAGTCATCTTGTGGTAGTGAGCCGCCCAGCCACGGTGGTGAAGGAATCCCCTTAACAATAAGGGGAGGTGGTACTATTTACACTAACCCTATTTACAATATATACACTATAACTAAACTACAGACTAAACTATGATACAGAGAAGAAAAAAGCACTCATAGGCTCCTTGCCAAAGCAAGAGGAGATTTTCAGCAACCGTCACAGGCAGTAAGAAGGAACTGAGAGGGTGTGTGGTGGGCCTCACCCCTTACACTGGCGCATAAGCACGCGGCACCAGAGGGCACTACAGCCAGCCCGACAGATACTATTGAGGGGAAAATCTCTGGCAATGGTGCACTACTAAAGTGGAATGGACTTGAGCAAGCACTCGAAGAACAACAAAAGTTCTACAGTGTGCACTGATATACCCTGCTTCAAAGCGTACTATGGAACTTTTAGTGTGCACCAACTAGATCCACATGGACAGTTAGTGCAGGGCAGGCTAGTGTGAAGTAGATTTCCATCACAGCTTGCTGCCAAGTATGTGTTCACATAAACAAGCCCTAATACTTTAAATGTCAACATTGTTGACTACCTCACTGCTTATCATTTTGGCAGAGACATCAGGCTGCGTACTTATCCATCATTGCTGAATGTAGCAGCAGGGTACAGCTAACTGCTGTAAAGATTTACTTAGGTATGGAATAAGGAAATCAACACCAATCACGCCTCTCAAAAATTTGAAGTCACCCCCTCATCACCTGTAAATGGGGTAGGAAAAAAGCGAGCGCATCCCTTCCTCGGTAGCCAGAATAAACCCCTGAGTTTTTTAGGTTGCCCAAAGCCCCAGCAGTTCCCTACTGAGCTGTCAAAAGCTCCAGCTAACTCTCTTGACAACTTCTCCAATGTTTGTGTTGTCAATACAAAATTCTGTAGCTCACTGAAAAGAAGGGGAAGCATTTTCATAAAATTAATTCGTATCAAAATAGTCAAATAAAAAGCATAGTAGACTGGACTAGAACTGGGAAAAGCAGTAAGGGGGAGTGCAATGCCACATAATTCTGGGATTTTTTTATTCATAATTTTGAGCTCATGTAATTAATAAGACATGAGGCCTTGACTAATACAGTACAAGGTCCAGTGATATCAGCATACTGTTAGACTCATAGACTTTAAGGTCAGAAGGGACCATCATGATCACTAGTCTGGCCTCCCTGCACATCGCAGGCCACAGAATGTCATCCACCCGCTCCTGTAACAGACCCCTAACCTCTGGCGAGTCATTGAAGTCCTCAAATTATGGTTTAAAGACTTCAAGTTACAGAGAATTCACAATTTACACTAGATTAAACCTGCAAGTGACCTGTGCTGCATGCTGCAGAAGAAGATGGAAAACCACCAGGGTCTGTGCCTATCTGACCCAGGGGAAAATTCCTTCCCAACCCCAAATATGGTGATCAGTTAGACCCTGAGCATGTGGGCAAGACCCACCAGGAAGATACCTGGGAAATAATTCTCTATAGTAACTCAGAGCCCTCCACATCTAGTGTTCCATCACCACCCATTGGGGATTTTTGCTACTGGCAGTTGCTGATGAGCAACATGCCATCGTAGGCAGTCCCACACTACCATCCCCTCCACAAATTTATCAAGCTCAGTCTTGAAGCCAGTCTGTTCCCCCCCCCCCACAGCTCCCCTTGGAAGGTTGTTACAGAACTTCACTCCTCTGATAGTTAGAAACCTTTGCTTAATTTCGAGCCTAAACTTGTTGATGGCCAATTTATATCCATTTGTTCTTGTGCCCACATTGGCACTTAACTTAAATAATTCCTCTCCCTCCCTGGTATTTATCCCTCTGATTTATGTATACAGAGCAATCATATCTCCCCTCAGCTTTTGTCTGGTTAGGCTAAACAAACCTAGCTCTTTGAGTCTCCTCTCATAAGGTAGGTTTTCCATTCCTCAGCTCCTCCTAGTAGCCCTTCTCTGCACCTGTTCCAGTTTGAATTCATCTTTTCTTAAACACAGGAGACCAGAATTGCACACAATATTCCAGATAAGGTCTCACCAGTGCTTTGTATAATGGTACTAACACTTCCCCCATCTCTACTGGAAATACCTGGCCTGATGCATCACAGGACTGCATTAGTCTTTTTCATGGTCGCATCACACTGACAACTAATCCTGTGATCAACCAATACATCCATTCTCCACCTCACCTAAAATAAGCACACTCACTGAGACAATTTGATTCTGAACACTATTATTCAGGTACCCCAGCAGAAAACAAAATACCCTGTTTCTAGAATGGTGTAGTAGTCATACAAGTCCTAAGTAATAACGTTTGTATGTTTTAGAAAAAAATGCCATATCTACTGGTCTGCTCCATGCTTCAGGGATATGGGGAACACACCACAGTTTAGAATTCTGGACATGAAAAGACATGAGAAATAAATGTTTTATTTACTACACAGGACAGAGAGAGATTCAAATCCATTACAGGCCTTAGCGTATATGTTCAAATTATCATATTGGTAGAAAAAACTGTTAATGTATGTTAAGATCACCTCTTTATTATCCAAGTTTCACATTTATTTGGAGCTGCCAGCGACGAACTGGGAGTCAAGCATGACCATATAAGATATGTGACAGGCAATAATGAAAATAAAATCAATTTAACAAAACAAATACTAGGCAAAATACTACAAGTGCATCTAACCTTCCATCTTACCTATTTAACCTCTCTGTTTCCACTTCAAACTCTCGGATTTTGCTTTCAGAGATAGCAGATCCATGTGAATAGAGCGTCTGAAAGATTTCCTGGATGTTGGAGCAGTCTTGGAGAGAATGGGCCAAGTGCTCAGCCACACTGCTAGATACCTGCACAGGGTGAATAAGAAACCTGCTGCGAGTGGATGGCTAGTTTTTAAAAATACTGTAGATTCTCAGGTTCTCTGGAAAACATCTATACTTTCAAGAAAGCTGAGCAAAAGGGCCAAATACTGCTCTCAGTTACACAAGTGTAAATCAGGAGTAGCAATGGTGTTCTGCTGGATTTACATTGGTGTTATCAGAGCAGAATTTGATATACTACTCTTCTAGAGATGTCTAACTTGGGGTGCAACTGCATAACCCTTATTTATGTGAGTAATCCTCACTCATATTTATTGTCCCCTTGAAGTCAATATGATTACTCAGATGAGCAAGGGTTTCAAGGATTAGGTCCTTGGCCACCAATTTATGGCAACTGCATGGACTACACATTAATGTAAAACTGGGGATTACACAAGCGTATTCATTTATTCTCTCTCTCCTGTTAAATATTTTCCATAAAATTAGTTTTGAAATAGTAAGATACTGTTTTTGTTTTTAACAACATAACAGTCACCCCTGGCTCTTTCCTGCAATACTCATGTTAGGATGAGCTGTGTGCGCAGTTTATTATTTTGATTTATTATTAGCACTCACCCCTATGCTGCTGATTTCTGATCCTAGGACAGGTCGGTCAGACGATGAAGACTCTGACCTTGTCTTTGAGAGCTTCACTCGTTCAGCAATCTAAAAGCCACAAAGCTACACAAGTTACAGACAGGCATCCCACGCCCCATGTTCTCCACAACTATGCAAAATGCATCATCATTCACACATTCACCGTGCTTGGAAATCCCACGTTAAGTTGATAAATGAAAGCTGGCATCTGTGTTGTGACTAAGAGAGACTTAAAATTATTAGCACTTTATCTCTTCCTGCAGCTTGAGTTCATGGGCCCGCTTAGGGCCCTTGAAAACACCCCTGGGATTCTAGATGATACTTCCCAGTTAATCGCATGCCTGCACAGCAGCTGTGCACAATGAAGTCTGCTTCTTCCAGATAATAAAAGGCATCACTGCAGCACACAACAGCTCACCTTGGCAATGGGAATGTCATTGCTGCTACTGCTCGTGCTCAGTTCTCCAGTACTGGGGTTCACGGGTCGGTTTGCAGAAGTGAGACGACCTGGACTGGATGGGCCTGTTGCCTGGATGCTCTGTAAACGTGTTTGCAGTTCCCGAACCTAAAATCAAATGTAACCTTAATTTTTTACTTTTATTGTTTAGATAATTAGCTAGCTCTTTCCCCCTATGCTGGCATCCAACTGATGATTACTGACTGACAAGACCAGGGAAATTCTGATTATTGTAAGGCTTTCACTGTGGAGGGGTGGGCATTGATTCAGAACTCTCCCCCACTGCCAGCCCCTTCTAACTAGTTCAGTGTGGAAATACACAAATCTGCTGACACAGAATAATTCTTCGTTCCAGCTTGTTTTATATAATCCCTTGAATGCAACAATATTATATGTATAAGAATCTCCTTCTTTGGAATGAAGTTAAAATAATGTTTTGGACTAAGATTAGCAAGTGTAAAGAACATGGTAAGTAGACAGAGATCCTACTGCTAGAGTCTTCAATGGCTGGAGAGAGAGGCTCTAAAACTGATGAAATAGTTCTCATGCATAAATATCCCAGGATGACTTCACTGCATTAAAAGGCCAAAGTAATTGAAATGTAAATAATTTATTAATACTTTGAAAACTACAATTAAATAGAGCACCACGGAGTGAGTAATGTCAAGAATGGGAACTTCTAGAAAGAGCACCCAACCAATCGTTTGCTGAAGCTCTAAATAACCACACATTTTGTAAAGAACTGAACTGTCCTCATTATATGCCAAAGAAATACAGAATTGACCTCAAAATAATTTTAGAGCTAAGAAAAAAACGGCTTGAAGAAGCCAAATGGTATTGCTGGGTAAGAGATTATAGGGTTTACCTCAGAATAATACTTAACAAACAAAGAATAAATGGTCGGCTTGAACACAGCAATTATACCATAGGGGAAATTAACAGAGCTCATTTTTCTGCAGAACTAGCATCCTGGCATCAAAGGAAAAGGGAAAAAAAACACCCTCCCCAGTTCAAAGGGGAAAATTCCCAGAATGACAAATAGTTTATTTTTACTTACATATTTAACTTATGTGTGGATTCTGTTAAAACAATGAACAGCCAATGTACAACTGATATTTTGCCAAAAATTCTAAAAAACGCAGTAACGTTTGAATTGTGTATGACCTATCTCACAGCCACTTGTAAAATTCAGACTATAATTTCTATACCATTGTACAAGTACGATTTTATACATAAATATATATTAGCACCAAACATAGGTTAATATTTCAAGCATAAGCCCTCAGTCAAACTTAAGGCTGTTGCATTAAGGTTTTGGGCATTCCCAGCTCCAGAGCTCTTAAGGTACATTGTTATTGTTATTAATTTTTAGCACTGTTGTCAAGAGTGGTGGCCTCATTATGTCCACTGTACAGACACATAGGAAGACAAGGGCCCTGCCCCAAAGAGCTTTCAATCTCATTTAAGACAAAATAATTGAGTGTAACAAACAATACAAGGGAAAAGAAGAGAGGGAACGATGAAGGTAGCAGTAATAAGAACTCTGGTTAAAAAGGCTAACTGTGGGAATAACTTGGAGGCTCACCCAGAATGGGACGCTAAGAACCTTACACAAAGTGCATCCAATAGCTCAACCCCTTTATATCTTGCAAGGTCCAGAGAAACGGAGTCAAACATGTCTGTAGAGCCCTTGGGCCAGCACATGCACCTCTTCAATACATTTTAATTAGCTGGGCACATACATGTAAAACACCCACCCATGGCAAACAATTTTCAATTGGTAACTCAGGCTGGGTTTACATACACATTTGACACCGATATAACAGCATTACTGCAACCCTCTAGGGTAGGAGTGCTGCACTGGTATAGAAACTGGTGAATTGCACTGAGGTCATGCTCACGCATGTCACTATTTATACTAGAGCAGCTACACTGATGCAAAAAAACAAAACAAAACAAACCACCAGTGTAGACAAGACCTCAGTCAAATCCACATCAAATTTTACTAACATACACAAGAGCATTTCTCTTAACAAAGCTATCTCCATGCCAAACTCTGACTTTCATTCCCCATTTAGGCTGCAAAGCTGTGCGAAATGTTTTTAAAAAACTGTATCTATGAGAAAAGTATTTCCTCCCCTTCTCCTTGTATTCAAAATATTCTGTACCGTTTTCGTTCAAACTTAAAAAAAAATCACCTTTGGCCAGAGACCAAACTTGGAAGATTTCGGTTCCAAAACTGAAAGTTTTGCAAAGTTATAGGCAACTAAAAACAGAGGGTTAAAGTGAAAAGTGTCTGAAATCTTAACCACAGTGGTCACTACTGTTCCCATGATGCTGTGTACACAGTCTCATACATACATTTTTAAAGCCACCTTACATGGACAATGTTCCATAGAGCTCGTCACAATGCAATCAAACACTGACAGAGTCGTTTCCTTTGGTCTATACTTTATTATCTATCACAATTACAGGATCTATCTAAGGATCTATCACAATTACAGAGTGAACTGCTGTAAAGGATTTGTAAAACAATATTTGTAATAGAAAGAAAAATTAACCAAGTTTAGACCACAGCCAGGAAAACAGCTTTACTTAGGAAAGCACATGGTCAAAAACTCAGAGCACAGCCTAACCATTAATGTACACTATTAACTGCTTCAATATTCTGTTTCAGAAACAAAAGGTGAAAAAAGAGAGCGCACTAACAACCCTGAACTGTGTGGTCTCTTTTTTACATACAAATCCAGAGTGTTAGCTGAGTAGATTACAGGCTGAATCATTACAATTTGTAAATGAAAATAAGAATGTGTCCATTTTGCAGTGAATTTATAGTAATGTTGAGTACTCAATAGTAATGTTGAGCAGCTAAATAGAACAAATTTGTCTTACCTGGAAATAGGTGATCTCATAATGCATACATTCACCAATCCAAAATCTCATTACCGGGTTGCCCCACCCACTGGAGAGCCCAGAGGCAGCTCAGCTAACTATTTCTGGTCACCAAAACCTTCTTGATAGAGCTGAATGCACCATCTCCTCAGAAAGTAACTTTCCAAGCTACAGGTAATGGTAATTCTAGAGAAAAAATAAAGGAAGACCAGAGAAGAGGGATCGAGAGAGAAAAATGTTATAGGAGGTGGTTTCTCTGGATTGGTGGATGTATGAATTATGAGAAGACTAATTTACAGACAAGGTTAAAATTGTCCTAGCCTCTTACATCTCTACATCCACCAATCTGGAGTCTCAATACTGGGGCAAATAAGCACTGTTACTTGTTTTCATTATATAGTGTCGATTAACTTCTGACTGAGTGTTCAGTCGTGTACAAGATACGCCTAGAGATACTGTCCCTGTCCCAAAGAGCTTACAATGTCAGGAGAAAAATATTGTTTATATAGCACCAGAACTTTCCATGAAATTTTTGTGCCTTACCTAAATGGAAAATGAAGATGACAAAAGAAGAGCTAGGAAAGAGGGTTAAAATAAATAATGTGAGCGATTTTATGTTGAGACTACATCTTACAAGTTCTGATATTTTCTAGACTGATACTGAGATAGCACCAGGGGATGGTGTAAATAGTACAGTATTGGAGGTCAGTGGTGGAAAGCAAGGTGAAAGAATATGAGTTCTGAGGAAGGATTTAAAGAAAGAAATTGAGGATGTTTGGTGAGATGGAAGAGGAATGCCATGGCAAGTTTTGAGAGCAATATGAAAGAAAGCATGAAGTTAAGAGCGGGAGGGGAGAGAAGCAGAACACTGAGGTGAGGTGTGGAGGGAGGTGAAAGATTTAAGATCAGGATGGTTAAGCAGCATCTATTGAGCAACACACACAGCATCCACTGAGGCTCAGAAATCCACTAAGACTTTCAAATCTCCAAAGTGTTCTCTCTTTTCATGAACACTCAAATATATGCAGACAACCACCTATGTACACTTTCAGCACTTTCACTCATTGTGCAAATAACAGAACTTACACTTGCAGAACCCCACTTGCACACAAAAAGTGAGCCTGGTTTAGGAATGAAAATGGGGATGTTCTAGTAGCTGTCCTGCAGATTTCTTGCAAGATCTTCTCTCTCCAATAGAGGGCTCAGAGTGAATGTGATGCTTGGTGGAATTTTATTTGTACATGTGTATAAATCTGATGACCAGCATACTTAATTAATACCTCTATATCTTAGATTCAATTAAAGGCGGCGAACAGCAGAGGCTAACAGTGGGAGTTTGCCTGGGAGCTGTCCGAGAGGAGGTGTGCTAAGTGCTGCATTAGGGGGGCTGTGTTGGTGAGTATCTGAGTGTCTGCTGCTGGGACAGTTGGTCAGTTTGACCGTGTGCTTGATTGCTTGCTTGTTTGTTTGAAAAGTGTGAATTGGGAGTGCTTTGTTCCAGGTGGGCCTTGAGTGGGCCTGACTGGTATAGTAAGGGCAGTCAGCAGCGAACCAGCTGAGCGGCGAACAGCAGAGGCTAACAGCGGGAGTTTGCCTGGGAGCTGTCCCAGAGGAGGATCGCTAAGGGCTGCATTAGGAGGGCTGTGTTGGTGAGTATCTGAGTGTCTGCTGCTGGGACAGTTGGTCAGTTTGACCGTGTGCTTGATTGCTTGCTTGTTTGTTTGAAAAGTGTGAATTGGGAGTGCTTTGTTCCAGGTGGGCCTTGAGTGGGCCTGACTGGTATATAAGGGCAGTCAGCAGCGAACCAGCTGAGCGGCGAACAGCAGAAGTTTGCCT